CTTTTATCTACCCCAATGCAGTCCTTCCCAATCCCCTGCACATACACCACAAGCACATGTCGGAGATGTTGCAGGTTCAGTTCCAGACCACAGCGATAAAGGGAGTCCCATAATAATGACAGTCATCATCTTTTTGCTGGCCAAGTGCCTTCCCTCAGTGTGCAAAAGATGCCACATCTGTGAAGTGCATTAAAGCGAAGCCCAATAAAATGAGGTATGCCTGTATTTCAGTGTTTCCTAAATCTGCCTGATGATCAAAATCACAGGTTCCTTCCTTGAAGATTTGGGCTCTGTACCCCTGGGGTGAGGTGTGTTACAAGCATCCCAGAATGATTCTTATGATCAAGCAAGTTTTGGAAACAAGGCTCTATGACATAACCATTTTTACAATAATTTGGTTGTAAAGACTACCCTTTTCTGAGAATTCCATAAATCCCTTGCAATAATGGTACTCTGTGGACTTATTGAAGTACCCTGATCAAATCTGCAGTGACATAAATGATTGTGCTAACACCTCTCCTATAAAGATATCCACTCATTTACTAGCCAGTGAATCCCCTAGTTAGATGATTCTCCAACATACAGCAAAAAGTGTCTGATAAAACCCAGCCTGGCTAAATCAAGAGACTCCCGCCCTGCCACAGGTGATCTGGAACACTGGTATATCTCTGCAACCAGTGAGTGTCAGCTCCTCCGCAAATGTTCACACAAGACAAAGCCAGCTAATTTCCCTGTTAAATGTGAGTCACCATCCTAATGATTTAGATTGCTTAGGTGCACATATTGAAATATATGCTTCCCGGCACCATTCCATATCCAATTACAATAGTAAATCCAATAAAGGCACAGTTAAACTGCCACTTGGGCAAAAGAGAAATACAAAGTTATAAGCCAGAGCAAACGTTCCCAGGGGAAGCAATGTGGATGCCCAGAACCCTTCTCAGAGAGCTCCATATAATCACTTTCGTCTAGGAATTTTTTATAAGAAATTTCAGCTGGAAAATTTTGGTAAGTTTCCACATCCTGAACTAAATTGATCCCTGAAAGATTAGTCCATTTCCTTCATGTGAATTTCAACACCTCTCTATGTCCCTCTTCACTTTTAAATCCACTTTTGTCCCAAAGCATCAAAGAAGAAAAACAAAATTTTGCATTGCATTTGAAATGGAAACTTTTAAATTTTTATTTATTGATGAGAGAGAGAGAGAGAGAGAGAGAGAGAGAGAGAGAGAGAGAGAGAGATCAATTTATTGTTCCACTTATTTATGCAGTCATTGGTTGATTCCTGTATGTACCCTGACTGGAGATGGAGTCCCAACTTTGGTATATCAGGATGATGCCCTAACCAACTGAGCTACCCAGTTAGGGCCTGAAATGGAAACTTAATGGATTTCAAAAAATGCATAGTTGCCAGGCAAATCAGCATTTTAACTATAATTCAATCTGAACTGTTAAATAAAAGAAAGTTATTTGAGAGTAAAATAACAAAGTAACATTAGTAAGATGTAAATTACTGAAAATAAAGTCAGAGTTTTTGTTGTGATTTTTGTTTGTTTGTTATTTAACCACATTTAGATGGTTTACTTGTTCTGTCTGGGTAAAGATGTAAAGAGACAGGATATGTATGTTAAGCACAACACCTGTTGCATTATCCTGGAAAAGAAATTATGATAATCTTTTGAAGACAAGGGCCAATACAAAACCCTAAAAAACCGACATGAAATCCTAATCCACAAGCATGAATATAGAACAAAGCATCTGAAACTCCTCTTAGGTATTTAGTTCGTGTCTTCGTAAAAGCAGAAACATTCCAGAGAGGCAGGTCAGGGCTCAATATAAAGAAGAACCTTCTAAGAATTAGAGCAGATCAACAATGCACCAGTGAGCTTCCTTCCTCCGGCCCTGAACCTGCGGATCACCATCCCGGAGACCACCTGCCATGTGTGCTGCCAGGGATGGGCCAGCTTTGTTTAGGAAGTTGCTCTAATCGACCTCTGGGGTCACTTCCAAGTTGTGTTTTGATTCATCGGGGTTATTCTCGGCGGTGAGAAGCATGATGTGAGTACACACACACACACACACACAGCACCAGAAGGGAACCGGGAAGTCTAATATTTTCAAATGTGATTTTATAGGCAAAAAGCAAAGGATGAATCAGCTACAGCCTCACACTGACATTTCAGAGAAGCGAGAAAGGGAAAGAGATACAATTTTGTTCGACCTCAGAATTCTCTTTGAGTCAAAGAACGAGCCCAGTCCTTAGTGGCCTCAAGCATACTCTTTAACAGGCCCCGACAACCTAGTTCTCGGAGAGACTGGGAGCTGCGAAACTGCAGAACGGACCCAGGTGCATAATTTCTCAGGAAAAACATGTTTGTCATGCAAAGAACCTTCTCTGCTCTCCAGCCTATTTCAGTTTCCCGTGTGAGTAAAACACTGGGCAAGTCCCAACCTAGTACTTTCCTGAAAAAGTATACAAGAAAACAAACAAAAAGAGGACTGACTAGATGTCAGCTTCTCTCAGGAGTAGGCCCAGCCTGGGAGTTTCCAGGCAGTCCAACTCGCTTATCAATTGACAGCTTATCAATCTACAGCTTATCAATCTACCAGTCTTGAAATAGGAAAGAGACATCAGTCCGACACAGGCAGCTCCCTTACACCTTCTATAAGGAATCCCCTTGAATCTCACCTAGCCCTTAAATGTAATCAATCAAATATTTTTTTTTTTAACGTAGAGCCTTATTTTTCTTTCTGTATTCTTTGCTTGCTACTCTACTCTTTAAACACATTCTTCTCTCCTTAAAAGAGTTGCTGCTACATGGATAGTCAGTTTTCATAATATAAAAATTAAGATTTCATTAACCTCTGAACTTTATTGAAGTTCTATGCTAAACACCTCGGAAGTGTTTGTTATGGGATGTACCAAAATGAACCAGAAAATAAAAGCAGGTACATCTTCTGCTGCAGAGTAGTTAACACTTGGAAGTTTTTACTTAACATTGAACAATCAGTGCCCTCCCATTTAATTTTCCTCAGTAGATAGACCCCCAACTAAAACTTTTTCTTCCTTTTCCTAGTTCTTAGTAAGGTTTTTAAGTATAATTTCTCCTGTATGCCGAAGTAGATATGTTCTTCCGGGACAGAAAGTAAACACAGACATTTCTGCCAATTCAACATATGAACTAATGTTTAAGTAACCATAGTTAAGAAATGTCAAATATACCTAGATACTATTTCCCCCGCTCTCAGGTGAACCAAAATTGATAAAATGAAGTGTTGTCAAAGGTAACAGAACAGGGACTCACAAACTACTTGGAGTGGGAATTGGTAAGCTTTTCAAAGGGCAATGTGACCAGACTTTATCCATCAAAAATGGTCACCACACACATTTCTTGGCAGAGTGAATATGCAGCCACGTTATCCTAAGGATATGTGCTAAGGTTAATGGACAGACAAGGACATTCCAGCTAAACACCCAATAATAGCAAAAACCTAGAAACTAAATGCTTCTCAGTGAAAGACTAGCTAAATAAACACAATGTATCCTCAACATATGATGGAATTATATGTGCTGATATTTTTTAAAAAATTGAAAATTCAAGCCATAAGTCTGTGTGCACAGTGTAATCCTATGTACTAGCTGAACTGGCACTATACCGAACCTGCGGGTAAAAACAGAATTAAGTATTGAAGGACAATTAAGAAACTGGTCACGGGAGAAACTGAGGACAGGGATTACCTGGCCAGTAGACCTTTTACTTTTCATCTTACATCTATCTCTACTGTTTTAACTTCATACTCTGTTCCTACACCATTTTTATTTCTAATCTCCCCGTAGGCTACTTTCCAACCCAGGCCATGGCAGACTTTTGTAACACTGGCCACATCCCCTGTGGGGTGAGGCTCACCGCCCACATCCCATCATCCCCAGCGCTATCACCCCGTAACACCGAAGTTCCAGATGGGAACTTGCGTAACGGATGGTTTCAGAGCCCACATTTCTCCCCACCACTTTTCTTCTTTCTTCACATCCTTATGTTACTTGTGCTGATTTCTGTCTCTAAAACATAAACTCATCTGAGAGCGGGATCAAGGTTATCATAACCTTTCTTCCCCCAATGGCATCTAGCACAGTGCTTAGTAGGTACCAGAAATAAATACATGTTACATTTGTGTGTGTGTGTGTTTATGAGATTATAGCTTTAAGGTTAAGATTTTATTTTGAAAGGAAGAACCTACCACTCTCCCAATCATGTAGATTTAGTAAAAAAAAAAAAAAAAAAGTCGCCTCCATTGAACAGGGGGAAAAAAAAAAGACTGAGATACTTAAAACTTTTAAGTGATTTGCCATTAAACAACTAATTAAAAGACAGAGAAAAGTAGACAAAAACATTAAAAGAGGTCTTGAACTTATATGCATATATGCATAGCCCACAGACAGACAATAATGCAGAGGCTTCAGGAAGAGGCAGGAGCAGGGGGGAAGAGGTCATTGGGGAAGGGGATGGAGAAGGGGGACATGTGTAATATTTTCAACCATAAAGATAAATTTTTTAATTAAAAAAAGATTTAAATAAAATTTGTTAATGTTAAGAAAATACACAGCTTTTTATTAGGTATGCCATATGGGGCAAGAGAAAACAGACACACACAAAAAGAATCTGATTGAAGAAAAAAAAAATGTTATAAGTCCCTTCATTTCCAATAGTGTCAACTACAGTTTTTTTAAAAAGGCCTTGGTTTCAGCTCTGGGTACACATTTATAACAGTGAATAGGAACTACACATCAGAATGGAATGATTATTGATTTCTTAATGGATTACTGCTGCACAAATTTACACTCACCAAGAAACCATCAATCTTTGGGTAATAATTATAAACCTATCACAGTACATACAGCATTCTGACTGAATTGAAACTTACTGCTATCTGCCGGGAAATGACCAATTTTCTATTTCTCCAGCTCCAACCACAATACAGAATGGTGAGCAGCTACTTACATCAAATGCTATTATAGGACATGGTCTGAAACGGCCACAGCATGCACCATCTGTAAATTGCTATTAGAGAGGTAAACAATCAGATCCTAGTGGACATATGTCTTATTATTCATTAGCTATGAAAACTGTAAATAAAATGGGCATAAGGCAGTTGCCCTTGTCAAAGCCCTATCGTTACTGGCAGGTTGTGGAGCAGAGTCAAGGGCAAACAGTACATGAGCTGAAGTCATGCTGTTCTGACTTTACATTCTAATTTCAAACCGCTCCCAAAATGTGCATCAGAAGTGCCAAACCACTAAGCTACAGAGGTTCGGCCTCTTTCTAAACCCATGTATGTTCTCAGTGAACTGCATTTTTACCAAGTGGAACGCCATTACAATTAAGATATCATTTTCCAAAAAGAAAATTGCGTTCCATAAGTTCTACCTAGTAGTCTTTCATCACTGGGCAGTAGTGTGATCCAGTATTAATCAATTTAGTTTTTAATCCTCAAGTTTTCCAGCTGTAGGCTTTAGATTGCACCATTTCCTTCCAGATAGTTAACCCCATTCTGAACACCTAATTGATCTTTATTATGCCTATGGAGTCATGGAATGAAGACAATTAGTCCATCCAAATAAAGGTAATCTGGAATGGATAGTATATTTGTTTTCCCTTTTTCTTTGGTTATATCTAACCCAAAAAAATCTATCATCAGATTTTTTTGCTTAGATATATCAATTTGCTTTTCTAAAAAGTTATAACTTGCAATTTTTCCACACAATTAACAACTTAAAAAAATATGTATTTCCAAAACATCCCAGGAAATAAAGAAATGAGATATGATTGGCTTTATAAAGTGTTCTCTTTCTTAAGTACTAAGAGAGTATTAAATTACAAGGATAATCAGTCATAATAATTAAAATACTATTAAGTATAATATAAAATTAAATGGAAAAGCTAAATAAAGCTACCATTATAAAATAAAATAGATTTGTGAAGCACCATAATGGATTTGTGAAACAGTCAAATTTGCAGATGGTAAATTTGGTGGTTTTCATTTGTTTAATGGAAAAGACTATTCTCTATGTATAACAATCAAATCAGAAAAATAAACATTCTCTAGAAGTCAAGAGATAACTGTAGACTGAGTTGACTTTACTTATATTTCAAATAGAAACCATATATAATAAGTATAAAAACCATATGTAAATATTTATAATCTACAAACTATAACAATTGTGCAAGAAAATGAGCTAAGTGTTTTATGCTAGTTATTGCATTTATTTCTTAAAACCTTCTGATAGGCATTATTATTTATAGATGAAGGAACTGAATGTAAAAAGCCCAAGGAACATTCCCAAGGTCACATAGTTGAAAAACAATTCCCTAAAATTCAACCTTAACATAAAAGAGCAGAACCAGTACTTGACCCCAGGTCTAGGTACATTGAAAGTCAGTACTCTTAACCACTTCCACTGGATTCTACGCTAAAACCTGAGAACAGCTTCACTCACAGGTATGTTCCAGAGCAGACAGATGCCCATATTTTCAATAAGTGAAGTAAATAACAATTGTACAGAAAAGATGAATGAGCATATTATGTAAGTAAAGTAACATCAGGTCAAGAGCCACAAGACAAGATTTTAAGTCATTGTTCTGCTACACTCTCCCCATGTGTCCTTGAGCCTCAATATGCAGATTTCTAAAATAGAGGCTTTGGAATGGATATTACAGCATAAACTACTATGTTGAATATACAGGTACACACACACACACCACACACACACACACACACACACACACACACACACACACAATTCTATTGTTAGAAGGGAAAGGATGGGGATTTAATGGATCTTTGGATCCACATTTATTATCTACCATGTTTCTGGGTGTTGGGGCTGCATCAGTGACCAAGACAAATGTTCTTCAAGTGTATGTTGGAAGAAGAGATAAATAAATAAATGATTAATTTCAGATACTATTAAGTATAACAAAGAAAAGAAAATAGGGTAATTTAATAGAATGCTTAAGAGAGGCTTATTTACATAGGGTGCGTGGGAGAAGCTTATCTAAGGGTCTACAATTGAGTTGACATAAAAAAAGAAGGAGGCTTTCATGAAATTTTATGAAGGAAGAGTGTTGCAACCAGAAGGAACGGAAAGTACAAACACCCTCAAATGGACATGAACTTGCCATGTCCAAGGAGAAGAGAGATGGAAGATGTTTTGAGAGTTTAGTGAACAAGAAGAATGTTGGAAGGGGAGGTCAGAGATGGAGGCAGCAGCCACATCCTTTAGGATGTTGTAGACTTTAGAAAGGGATTTTAATTTTATTCGTTTTAACAGAAAACTTTTGTGTTTAAGAAATGGATTGTTAAGATCTGATTTAGAGTTTAGAAAATCGAGCTCTGCCTTATGGGTGGATTACTTACGGGGGATGGAGAGGGAAGACTGAAGGAAGGAAGACCAGGTGTAAGTTTTTATAATAAGTTAGGCTTAGGGGACCAAAAAACAATGGTAGCTCATAAAGTTGTAGGAGTGAACATGGTGAGAATTATAAATTCAGGTTGTATTTTAGAAGTGGAGCCAAAGGTATCTTATGGACTGGACGTGGAGTTTGAAGAAAGAAAAAGTACCAAACAGTCCTTTTAAATAGATTTAAAAGTCAAAGCATCAGCTGTATCTAAAGAAATAAAATAACAAAGAGAGGAAAGGATCTGTAGATCTCCAGATATAAGGGCTGCTAATAGATGAAGGGGATTTCCTTTAACTCAATAGCCAGCAATTCTAGATTCAAAACCTGTGGTAAAAAGAGACACTTGGAAATAAATACTAATTAACAAGTCCAGGGTCCCTCAAGCAACAAAGAAATTAAAATTCCAAATTCAAAGCCTGAGGACATTTTATTTTTTTATGTTTTAATATATATTTTATTCATTTCAGAGATAAAGGGAGAGAGAGAAACATCAATGGCGAGAGAGAATCACTGATTGGCTGCCTCCTGCACACCCCACACTGGGGATGGAGCCTGCAATCAGGGCATGTGCCCTGACTCGGAATTAAACCATAACCTCCTGGTTCCTAGGTGAACACTCAACCACTGAGCCATGCTGGCTGGGCGCATGAGAGCATTTTAAAGCAATAAAGTGCTTTATTATAAATTAAGTATGATTAGTAGGCATCAATCACCAGAGTTGTACCTAACCAGGTACATGATCCTGAAGATATATTCATATCCAAAATATCCATGAACTCTACACTTAAAAAGCAAGTATTAAGGGGAGTGTGAAAGTTCCCTACCATCTTGAAGAACCACCAGAGTAGGTAACAATGCACTTTGATTATTTAAAAACACCTTATTAGTAGCTAAAAGTTTTTTACAGTAATTCAACTCCAACCACTCACCCAATAAAGAAGAAAATGGCAAACAGAAAATTACAGATTACCACAAAAGGTTCTTTTCCACATAAAAATGCAGACGACCTATTATTATTAAATGCTACTATACAGACACAAGCACTTTCAGTTCAGTAAGGATTTAGGTGCAGTGCTTTCCTACATATGTCAGTTAAATATTATGGGCTTAATTTATAGGATCTTATGCTAAGCAAACTACATTTCATTAGTTTCCAAATAACATACAATTCTGTAGTAACATTAAAAATAATAAAGGGAAACCAAAGAAGAGAAGCAATAAAAAGATTACTTCTTAAGAAGATGATCTCTTAACTGTGTCAACAATAAAAATATTTTGTATTCTCCAAGCTATTAAATACACTGCCTTATTTCTTGTAGCTATAGGAATGACTACAAAAAAAATGTTTGTATAACTAGATAACGATTGCTGATCTAAAATTTCTTGGAGACATTTAAACAATATTTCAAGAAAATATTCAGATAAAACCTTGGTGAGGGGTGGGAACCTTTGTAAAGGCTGCGTATCAGATTCTTTTTATCATTATAATAGTTATACCATGGACAAATGTGATAATTATCACAATTGCTCTAAGAAAACTGAGGTCTGGTCTCCCAATCTGGCATAAGCAGAACTGTGTACAATTTCAAAGAAGAGCCATTTGATTGGTGAGCTTCGGGATTTAGCTACCGGATAAGAGTTAACTAAAAGCAAAAGCAGTATTACATCCCATTTTCATGTGTCTCTATTATGTGGCCAGGTTATGATTTGAGAGATCTTGAATCATAAAGATTAGAAATCTTCATTAGTCAAAATAATAATAAATTTAAAATTGTAAACTTTCTGAATGACAGCTCTTGCCTCATACTTCTTAGCAACAAATAATAAAAATGATCAAAGTGAATTTCAATTATATATGTACATGTATATATAATCAAAATTCTCTATACTCTCTTTAAAGTTTTCTATAAAATCTCCCTCTATATTCTAGAGTGGCAATGGCCTGAAAAAATCTATTTTTATGAAGCCATGTGCCATTCTAAGCACTTGAAGCTTTTAGTGCAGCAAAGCATTCTGCTTGAATGAGTGTTGAGAACAGTTAAGAGTCTAAGCTAGCACTAACTTTAGAGCATTTACTTTGTAACGGCTTTGTGGGTAAAAAGACTAGCTGGACTTGGACTGGGGTATCCTCAGCACACATAGTGCTGAAATGATCACATCCATGGGGTTAATCTGAGCAGTAACATCCTGGAATACTGAGATACGTCTCCAATGTGTCCAGTCAAATAACGAACACAGGACAACTCAAAATATATTTAAGCTCAATAGGCAACCTTTTTAAAAAAATATATTTTATTGATTTTTTACAGAGAGGAAGGGAGAGGGATAGAGAGTTAGAAACATCGATAAGAAACACCGATCAGCTGCCTTCTGCACACCTCCCACTGGGGATGCGCTCGCAACCAAGGTACATGCCCTTGACTGGACCTGAACCTGGGACCTTTCAGTCTGCAGGCTGACACTCTATCCACTGAGCCAAACCGGTTAGGGCAATAGGCAACCTTCCTAATTGAGAGACTAGTATGTTGAAGGCACTGTGCTAGCTAGCTTCTGTGGAAAAGAGAAACCAATGTTTATTGAAGTATTTCTTGAAATGTATTAGGCACTGTGATAGAAGGTTCATTCAAGTTATTTCATTAATCCTCACAACAACCCTAAGAGAAAACCACTGACATCCCTTGCTTTACAAATGAGGAAATGAAGTCTCATACTGTACATGACACAGCCAAGGTATAAATCCAAGTCTGGTCAACTCTCAGGTCAAGCTCTGCCTGCTACTACCCTCGGGCTGCAGAGACTAGAGTCACTTTCCCTGCCCTCAGGAGATCCCAGTCCTACAGGGGAGATAAGGCGCACACAGGTCAAGGAGTCGTGGTAAATTAGGATAGGAAGTAATAAAGGTTTCCCAGATTTTTAGAGAAGAAACTACTCCTAGATAAAAAGGACCATTTGGTTTTAAAGACCCATTGCACCGTCACCATGTTAATAGTAATGCTGACCAACAAAACGTAAATTTCAGACATGCAAAGCAAAATGTGAGTCTTTAAATGATCTCACTGAGATTTACAAAGATTTCTGCCCTTTGAACCAAATGACCTGTGGGAGGCCTGTTTATATCCAGTCTGCTGTGAAATCTTTTTAAACCAATATTCACTTTCTCCTTGACTGTTCATAGGGTAAAAGGAAAAAATGGACATCAGTGTGGTCTAATTCATACTTCTCAGAATTCAGATATTAAACGGAGAAATGCATTACGATGTGGGCGAAAAGCATGTCTTTCTGAGGACAACATGTCGGTGAGATGTTTCTTAGTTGCTTGATTCAAGTTTTTTTCTCATACTCTTTTTAGCTAACAAAATAATAATAATAATAATA